GGGATTGCTATGCTGCTTTGCGTTGGATGTTTCCCATGCACTGTCCCTTCAGTTTTTTCCTACAAGTTCCTCGTACTCAAATCTGACTATACAACAGAGCATGTCCATGTGGACTCATACCCATCCTCACAACACCAGGAATAAGCTAGTGAACATTTCCAGCAAAACTCTTCTTTTTTAATTATTTTTGCACGCAGAAGTGGGAGTGCTACCACCGCTTGGATATTTAGCAACTGAGTTTCACATCGAGGCCCACAAGTAATCGAGTTGTATTTAGCTGAACCCCTGGGTCCCCAGCAGCTTAATCAGCTCAGAAGTTCCTCCACTAGCTACAGAGGATAGTACATCCTGTATATAGTTTCCCCTTCGGTCTTGAACTTCCTTATTAGTTCTTTCCCCCAGAAACAGATGGAAAGTAAAGAGAAGCTGAGGTCACCGTAGTCGGGGGTCTGGCGGAGGAGACGACTTGCTGTGAGATCAGGAATATAGTGAAAGCCGAAGACCTTACTAGCTCTACTGCTAGTACTGCTAGCTCCCCAGCACCTCCAGGATGAATACAGGCAGCACGTTTCGGCAGCCAGAGGGGAGACATTTATGATGCACACACAACGGCATCACTTTTACCTGCAGTTCTGTTGGCTAGTCATCAAACGAGATCTCTGTTGAGCCAACGTCACCAACTTATCAATATTAAAAGGCACAACTCAGTGAGCAAATGTTGTCTGAGCTCTGCCCACATAAGGCTGCATTGCCAACTTGCAGCAGATGGTCCCAGTTCACCCTGAACGAAAATGCCTGCAGCTCCCCTTGCGCTGAACTGAGGGGCAGCTCAGAGAACGGCATCCGACCTCCGAGAGGTGCATCACGACGGGCTTGGATCTGCTAGTCCCGCACCGAGGATGAGGGGCCTCGCTGGCTGGGCTCAACCTACAAACTGCACTGGGTCAATCCCTACTTCAAAGGACTTGGCTGAGGGCACAAAGAAGAAAGCTTCAGTTTTGAATTCTGTTTCACATGCACAAAAAAACATTCAGACGACAACCTGGAGGGGAAAAACAGCTCTATAATCTTATTCATAGCTCAGATCTCACCCAGTTACTGGCCTGCAGGGCACTTTCTCTCAAGATTTATTAGTGAGCAGTGAAATTTTTTTTTAGAAGTTAGTGAAAGCAAGCTTTTTTCCAGATAGAAAAAGTTCTATAACGTTTCTCATTCAAAGAGCAGGCAGGATCCTACTACAGCCGAGCACAAAACAGTGTAGTCTTGCCCCATCTGGGAAAGATTTAGTAGATGCTGCGAGGAGATTCTGCATTACTGAGCTTTCACCTCTACACAATATCGATACTGTTTGGCTCCGAGTCGCAAACTGGGCCGGGCAAGTCAAGTGACAACACAGACAGCTTGTGGTGCTAAGACTTATTATCTGCTTTATCGTTTTTTTACATGCAAGAATGAGCTCTTAAAAGGGCCCCAATCATTAGTGCAAATTAGCCAGGTTCTTCTCTACCACAAACTGATTGCAGCCTTGAAGCACAATAGGCCAGAAAGCTGCTTCCTTTTTCATGACATGAAAGCAAACAAAATGTCATTTCCACGGCATGGAGAAGTCTGATTTTTGAAAGGGAAGAGAAACAAAGCTCTCTCTTTAAATATGCCACGAATAACGGGGGTTGTGTATTTTAAGCATTGATAACCGATTCCTTTTGGCCACAACTTGCTGGACTGAAGCAGGATCACTTGGGACCAAACCAGATGAGCCTCAAACCCAGGCCGCCGTCCATCCCAGGGGAAGACTCAAGCTACTGGGCTACTACAGGGTGAGCCCAAGGCTGCTTTCAAGACTGGCATAGGACATGCCCCACTTTGGCTCTTGCGGGCAGGCCTGCCTCGGCCCCTTGGCCTCCCCCAGCCCAGGACTGAGCGGGGCCAGCTTGCAGAGTGCAGTGTGCGTCCCCTGGGTGGTCCTGTGAAACAGCAGGCTCTGGGATTAAATCCTTCCGGGCCTGGCTTCCTTCCCTCTGCTCCTTTTGGAGCCGAGTGGGGAAACCGAGCTCAAATCTGCCACGTGCATCTCAATACTGTGGGCCGGGCCTTCTGATTACTTCTTCGTCTGGAGGCATTTTCCTTCTAGTTTGCTGGGCCGAGGCCTCTGAGCTTGTGGTGCAACGTCTCCTCCTCCCAGGTGTCTCCGAATGGAAGAACTGGGTTTATTTGACCACTGCCTGCACTTTGCAAAAATATTCCTGGTTCAGCCCCATCTCCCCCGAGCTGGGTTTCCTTCATCCAGTCCCCTTGGTTCACTAGGAGGGGCCAAGGAGAAACCCAGCTCTCACCCCCACCCAAGACATGGATCCAAAACCACGTGGGCAAAGAGTTCAAGTTTAGCAACAGGCACTAATGCAATCCTGCATTTATGGAGAGACCGAACGGATGGTGCATGTTCCTGAGGCTGTCATCTAATTACAGAGGCTTTGCCCTCCACACCTCGAAGACGAAGAGCCAACGTTCGCTCTTGGGACACCAGAGCCACAAGATTTCACCCTACCCGTGTTTCTAGAGTCGCAGACTGTCAGGGGCTGGAAGGGACCTCACAAGATCATCAGGTCCAGCCCCTTTGCACTAGGCAACTTTATCTTTTCACCCCATGTAACTGCTTGCCACGTGCATTTCCTTGGGAGACGGCAGAGCGGAGTCTGAGCTCTCCCCTTCTCAAAGCATGCTGCCCTGCACAATTACTCTCCTCTCTTTCCTTCATGTTCACCCCTCCCCAATGCCTGCAGCCTTAGGGCTCTTACACGTTGGAAGCCTAAGGAAATTTCCCATGCTTTGTGACTCCTTGAGGTGGCAGATCACTGTGAAATATTAAATCTGAGGAGAAGAGGCACTAGATGGAGATTCCTTCTCACGTAGACAGCAAGGTTGCAACAGATGAAAACTGGCACAAAAACTACCCCAGAGATCAACACCAGCAAAACTCGGAAGGAAAATAAAGGAAGGAAAGACAACAGAGACAAAATCCATCTAACTGTTGGAAGAACACTGGTCTGGCACTTACAGAAAGCATCATTATGGGCAAGATCTGGCACAATAATTTTACCTAAACACAACACAAGCAGACTAAATACAACAGCACCTGGTAGTCTCCTACCACAACGCTTTCCTAATTATTGCGAGGGCTTCGCTGGGTGTTCACCTCAGTAGGAGAGAGTTTTGCTGTTGACAAAAGCTGCTTGCAGTAACTAAAAATCAGACTGGTGCAAAGGTAATCTTTTACGGAAACACAAGCAATAGCTACTTAAACATCTGTTAACAACAGAACCAGAAAGCAGCATAATGCATGGCAAGAACAGGTTCTCTCTCTAAAGCACACTGGTAATCTTCAAAGAGCAGTCAAGCCTACAATTTACTGGCTCCGATTCCTGGCTTTGGTTGTTTAAAATGGCTCAAATAGTAGGAATTGAAGGCAATTCTTTCAAGTTGCTAAATATAGCATTTATATACCGACCTACTTCATTTTCCTGTAAAGAAGCAGAGTCCATGCTAGGCCCCTAGACTCCCACTGCCCTCCTCTGCAACTCTCCTGACATGATATGCAAAGCAGGAGAATCACCTTGCAGGCAGACATACACGGGCCTTTGACTATGGCACCTTGACAGAACCGTGATCAATGCCTTTGAAGTGCACGCAATAAAAATGCGAGGCCATATCACAGAAGACCATAAGGTAAAATAAAAGCCAACGGAGAAACAGGGAAGCAGCATAAATGGCAGCCTGGGAAGAAGAGGAGGAGAGACAGGGCACGCTTCTCATTTTCCAGTACAGCGTATCACAGCACCAGTCATCAACATCAAATGCAAAACCGTTTTGCAGAAATGAAACAGCTGCTAAACATGCCCAGCACTAAACAGAGAACTACCCTCAACGTGGGCATTATGCTCCAAACAGGCAAAGATGAAAGCGTTGTACAATAACCCCGTGATGTGGTTTGCTGTTTGAGCACTTTTCAGCCCACCTTCATGTGCAAGACGTGGTTACAATCTACTGCCAGCAACGCTGGTATAACAGAGCACAGAGCAACTGTAACGAGAATTTTACCCCAGCCTGGGACAGCATTCACCTACTCGTTAATTCATTAGGCTCTATGCTGCCCTACCCAAGGCAGCTTACATGAAAGAGCAAAGCTGCAGACTCCCCAATCGACACCCCAGAACTGTAAAATTCCTCTCCACCCCCTCCCGCTTCCCTGCCTTGCAGCCAGAGCACGCCCTCCGGCCCATCCCAGCCGTGCCGAGCTCTAGGCACTGTACACAAGCTGCAAGTGGGTCAACGCCTACAAAACATCTTCAGTTTCTCCCACAAGCATTCCCGTTCCCTTATTCCCACACCCCCACTCTGCTGTTTGTTCTCTTCTGCGCAGATGCCTCAGCAGATGCATGTATTTTAAAGCACACCCTTAGCAACATGTTGGCTCTTTAGCAAAAAAGGAGGAATCGGTTCCAGAAGGAAGAACAGCTCTTTGAACCCCGTATCTCTGCACGCACTCCACTCGGGGAGAACAGGACCCGAGGGGCTCGGGTAACTGCAGCTGCAATGGTGGAACAAAGAGAGAATCTCTGCTATTCAGACAAAGATCATATTAAGCAAATAAACCCGATGCAACAGCGTCCTGCATATTCAGTTCTAAGCCCCGACATGCTTCTTGTATCCGCATCTCACAAAATGCACACCACCGAGGTAAAAAGCTTGACAGATCCCCTTTTCCCCTCCTCGGTACAGCTCTGCTGCCAGACATACTGACTTTTGTGATGCTCTCTGCACTTGAAATACTGAACTGCTTGTTCTTTCAGCAAACTTTTGTTAATTCATTCCAACACGTAAAGAAGCAGTCACTGCCCAGCATGGCTAGTGCATCATTGCTGCTAAACTCGGCCTTGGGATACAGCCTCTTGGTAGATCCAACACTGGTAGCAGCTGGGGCTGTTCTAGCACTTGCAACATACCTTTAAGGCTTCGATGACAAGATCTCTTGCTTCGAGTTCCCCTTCAAGGATGCTGAATAGAGTTAGTAGTTCTGGTTTGCTGAGTTTTTCCAGATTCATCCTGATCACCTGAAAAAGAGAAATAATCAGAAGAGGGTCTGGACACCAGATACTGCTCTGGACAAAATAATAAAAGCTAATAGCAGTTTGCTATGACACAGAAATGCACACCATGCTTTCAACTTGGAAGCTTCAGAATGTCTAGCTTTCCCGTTATGAGCTGCAGCATTAAACAAAGAGAGGGGGAAAAAAACCCAACAAGCATTTTCTTTATGCTCTCCATAACCCGTTACAGAAGATTGATTTTTCACTTTTTCCCCGGGGGTCGTGAGGGCGCACACACTTTCTGCCCACACCATCTGGGTAAGTGCTAACACAGCAGCACGGTACTCCCCAAGCAACAGCCAAAGTTAGCAGAAGGGATAAATGTGGATTTTTAAAACCCGTAGTACTGAGGATTACACATCTGGACCCTGCAGCTGCAAACGTCCCACTGAGGACTTAATCACGGACCCATAATTCAGGCATACAACTTCAAGTTTCAAACGGCTGCTCGAGAACAGTACCTATGCAGTACTATGCAAGTCATCCACCTACTGCAGAATAAACACCACATTTATAACTAACATTGCGATGCTACGTTGAGCGGACTGAGCAATGTCTAATGTCGTCTTCTAGGCCACAGATTTAAGTCAATCCACAGGGCTGATGCCACAAAACACAAGCACGCAGTACTCTAGTTTCTTTTCTCTCATGGCCACCAATCACTATGGTACTATTACATATATTAGAGTGGATTTTAGTTGAGAGCAACACTAGCCCCTTCGCAGATTTCAAGACATCCTGTACTGCGTGGTGCAAAACGAAAGATATGCTTCATCAAGAGATAGTGAAAACTCCCAAGGCTGGGGCGTATTCTTCTACAAGCCCTTCCTTGCAAGCCAACAGTAGGTAAATGCAACTTTTCTATTCATTAAGTCCAATTCATACAGACCTTCTACTATTTGTAACGCTTGCACACGTTTGCTTTGTAGCTGGAGGGTGCGCAGACTCCAGGATATGATACGGGGCTCCAACGCACTCGCAAAGGATGGGCTGGCTCAACAGAGTGGTTCTCAACTAGCGGGCGTGGGCTTCACGAGTGGCTGGGGTGGCCCATACTCTGAACCCTCCGGCGGTACTGGATGCCATCGAGCTGGGTCACTTTATGCGCCACCTCCAGAACAGGACGCAGCAGGGCCATCTTGGTGGGCCAAGCCAAACTAGGCATTGGCAGCAAGTGAACTCCCAGGGAGGGAGACTGCGCTGCAGCAGGTGGGCCGGGGGTCACAGGCAGTAAGCTGCAGGACCACGGACGCACAGGTGAGGAGGGACGTGGGAGGAAGAAGGTGGAGAACCACTGCAGTAGAGAATTAATGTTCACCTTTGTTTAAACAAATGTCCTCGGCAAAACAATCCTATTTACTTCCAGCTGGTTCAAAGTGACTGCTACTTTGCAAGTAATTTGCATAACGACGCCATTTGGTGGGCTAGGCAAATAAAGGCATGATCCATCTTGCTTACCCAGAAGCAGGTGCCCTGTCACTGGGACCAGCACGCTGCCCTGCTCACCCAATAAAGCAAGATGCTTAAACATCTCCCAGACCCCGTATGCCAGTGCAGCGCTTTACCTCTTCGCCCTTGCATCAATTGGCAGGCTATGCAGCGAGATCTCTGCTTCACCAAAGTTCAAGCTGTAGCATTGAACAGCAGTGCTTTGGAGAGAAGCTCAGCTTCCTATGTGGTTTTCTGGACGGACTTACTGCCAGCACGACTTGGGATTCTTCTGAGATGAAAGCATAGCTATGGTGGTTCATGGCATCGTGGGCATGTCAACATAGCATCACCAGCCACGAAACATCTGCTGGTACGAGTGTTCAGTACAGCAGATCAACAAATTCACTGTCTGAGGGTAGAAGGCGTCACTGCTTAATAAACACTTTGGTAAACCCACAAGTGTCTGGCTTTGGGATTTCCAACAAGACCAGACAACTGTAGATTGGAGCAGACGGGCAGCGCTCCAAGAAGCCACGTGAAATGCACCAAATTTAAGTTTGCTCCTACTGGTTCTGACACATTGCTACCCGCTTTGAGCTGCAAATACCAGGCAATTCCAACCTGGTGCTGAGCGCCGGTCCTGGGCAAAACAAATCCACACCAACCGGCAGCCCTGGCTTAACGTATCTCCTTTTGACACACTGAAATTCAGGTCCAAAAGATTAAAAGGAAGGGCATGACCTGTTGCTTTAATAAAACCCGCCACCCCTACAAAAGTCCCAAAACTGCCAAATAAGTATCTGGAAAATGAATCCCAGCTCCTGTTCCATTCACAAGAATTGTGAATTCCCCAGGATTATCAGCTTCCAGGTTCTTCATGAATATGTGTACCGACGCACGCACTTTCAAAGCGGAAAAAGGCTACATCCCATATGCTACACCTGCAGTGCTGAGCAGACTGCACTTTCAGCCATAAAAACCAAGACACTCAAGCAAAACGTTGTTCACATGAAAATGTCCCCCTGAAAAGCAAAATGCGGAGGCCGCTCCAACTATTGTTCACAGACAAACATCCTTTCTACTTTGGGTTTCCTTTCCAGAGCTGAAGCACCGAGGGCGCAGATATTCATCACGTTTCAAACATGCTTTAACTGCGAAGATGGGTTTTGGACACTGATCTCTGCTGCAAGGGCTCATTCTTTGGGAGAAAGCTTTCCGAGGCAGTAGACACACCACATCCACGGTTTCTGGAATGCAGTCACCTATGCTAACGTGTTAAGGGAAGAGAGTTTCGTAGAAACTGAGACTTGCCCCAAAGGGGGAAGAACAATTCTCAAAACAAGAGAAGAGGGTACTTAAACAAGGGCTTAACAGAGTTCAAGTTACAAGTATCAGAGTGAGTTTGGCAGCAGGGATTTGCAGTGATCACGTGCAAGTAGTGTGCACATTGCAGCATTTTAAGAAGAGGTGCAGGTTACTACCTAAAAATCTGAGTCACCAGAAAAATAAAACCCAACCCATTCATTCGACCAATGATTGTGAAGTTGCTCTATCTTTGTTACTATGAGACCTGTAAAATATTTTCATAAATATTTGCTTAAATATTCACACACACATGCTTTTGCTATGCTCCCACCTCCTATGTTTGCTTTTCACTAGTATTTTAACCACTTAAAACATCTGTGTTAGAAGAATGCTCTCCAACCTGAGGATCTGACTACAAATTTGATTCAGCCTGCTCTTAAATGCAAATATGCTTCTACTCTGCTTTAAGGGTGCTGTAGTTAACTATTTTAAGTGCCCTGCATTTTAACTTAAGACTTGCCTTCGCTCAATTTATGTCCGTCTGCTCAAAAAGCAACGCCCCCCGACACCGTGTGCACCCGCACAGCACTGATACTGGACATTAGAGAATGACTTCCTGACAAGCTTCCACCTGGATTTAAACTGATGGTGTCGAACCATTACAAATAAGATAAAGCAAGAAAAATTTCTTTGATGGAAAAAGTCAGTTTTTAAGTTTTTGTTACTCATTTTTTTTAATTGCCCAATAAAGGGAGAAAAATCACTGGTTAGCTAATGCTGTCAGCTTCCACATGAGTTACTCTTTGAACTTCTCTGCTTTTTTAAAATTGTTTGATACTTGTTGCTGTGTTGGTATTTCCCACATTCATAGAGAAGGAGCCCAGGAAACTTTCCATACAGAGCCTCAAAATGCCATTGTGACACCGTTCCTAAGTACAGGTGGTTCATTTTAGGCATGAAGCACGTTATTCAAGGTCTCGCCAAGAGTGACACAATCAGCACAACAACCCAGAAATCCACATTCCCAGTCTTTGGTTTTGCCTATAAACCCACAGAGCATGTTGTGCCCACTTTCACCTCACCGCTGCACTTGACATTGCCGCTGCTTTTGCAATGTAGGAGACTCGGTCGGACCTTTACGAACTGGGCGAGGTCTGCATTTCAGGGAAGCGCAGCATTCTCAGCAGCGATTGAAGGGAAGATGTCTAGTGGCAACTACCCTTACGTCTGGACCCGCTTCTCGAAATAGCTGGCTAGCTCTGTGGAGTGGAAAGAAAGGTATCGTTCACAAGACATGCTGCAATTCCCAAAGGCAGAAGACAAGTCGGATCAGCCATGTATCCATTTACCTTTCTATACAAAATTAATTGTACTGGATGCGGGAGAGGCATGGCTTCGGTTCCAGCTTTTATAAGCTACCATGCCTGAGAAGGCACTTTTAAGTTGATGAGTGGTATGATTACCCTGGACAGATCTGCAATCTGCGCATCCTGAATGTCTGCCCAGAAAGTGCATGAATTAATTTCAACAGTGGGTCAGGCTACATCTACAAAGGTTAAGACTGAATCAGTACGGATAAGAGAAAACCAACACTGTTTTAACACACCTCGGACCATGATGATGTGTTAGTGGAATGAAGCTGTTAAAGTAAGGTATATTTTGGTTATTAGTGAAGAAAGCTCACAGACCCTCCTGTACATTTTCTAATGGTGCAAAAAATGCCATATCTAACTGCATTAACCCTAGCATGCTCAGCACAATTTCAAACCGATTAAATTGAAAACCAGCACTGATTCTGCCAAGAACTCGTGGACAGTTACTGCTATACTTCCCTATTAGTTCACAATTGGCCCATTCTCTGCAAAGCCAGGAGAGTGACTAGCTCTGCTTGGTATCACTCCTCACAAGCTGAATTTAGTCCGTATGAAAAGCCAGTTCAGAGTGAATTCATGCAGGGAGCCACAGTCCCCGTTTTGCTGTGCAATGTTTTAAACTGGAGCACGGGGGTGGACCTTTACCATCCTAAGTGATAAACTTTGACCGAAACACAGCCAAGAACCTCGTAAACTGACAATCTTTTACAGCGTTGAAGAAATGAGTCCCTGCCCAAAAGAGATGAAGTTAGAGTCATTTTATAGCACTCCAGTGAAACTATTTATAGAAACCAATAGAACAAGAGCAAGCCAGTACACATGTTTACAGGGTTTATATTTTCAAGATCATGAGGCTTCGGTTTCTGAGATACTGGATCCTCAAATATATTATGCAGGCCGACAGCAGCAAGCTTTAACTGTACCATGGGCAGAAGTCACTCCAGATTGCTAAATCAAATTGCCTTAGATAGATGCTGTAATGAAGCCAGTATTTTGGAAAAGCAGTGCTTGTACTGCTCTGGTTTCAGACTCTTAGTAGCTGCTTCTCACAGGACACCTGGCAGACGCTGTTAGACCCACAGCTGTTAGAAGAGGATCAGGGAAAGGGAAAAAGCTGGAAAACAGCTTGACACATTTCAGTGTCCCAAGAGCACTGGGCATCTGTAAAATGGGCACAAGGCAATGATATGGATGCAGCCCTTCTCTATCCAAATCCGATGCCAGCTGACACTGCCGAGGGCACAAGTGATGTTCTGCCACCTACAGCTACCCTGGGCTGATCTGCGCACCATCTATGTTGTAAAGTTGCATACTCGCCTCCCCCATTATTCTTCAGTGGAAAATTGCTTTACTCCGTTCCTCATTTAGTTCTCGCCCACAATACACACACCTCCCCACTGTGCCAAGTTTGCTGACATGTGAATGGAGGAGGCCTGATCTGCTACTTCCAAATTCCTCAACAGGGACGAGCGTTCACATCGCTCAAAAGTTCTCCAGGAACAACCGGGCCTTTCATCAGCTCGCACCCTGCGCAATCAGCCAACCTGGGGAGCACGCAGTATTTAGTCTGATGGAATAAACATTTTCCCAGAGTCTGAGGTCCGCTACCATTTTAGGGCAAGAAGCAAGAGTTCGGGGTTTAAACAAACACAACTGCTTATTGCCTGTGCAGAGGTAAACTTCCTTCGAGCCGTGCTAGGGTGGATGTGTGTCTAGCTTTATTCAGCAGAAACACTGTTTTACTGGAAAGCGACTTTTCCATTGGTATGTTTTCTTCGGAGCTGGTCAATACTTTTCTTTAACTCCATCTCCTAGAATTTAACATGAAAATATATATTGTGTAGATGACCCCAAGTGTGACATGACGGGACCCTGAGCGTGACGTGAAAGGACTTTTCTTTAAGTCCATCTCCTAGAATTTAACATGAAAATATATATCGTGTAGATGACCCCGGGCATGACATGAAGGGATCCCGAGCATGACGTGAAGGGACTTTTCTTTAACTCCATCTCCTAGAATTTAATATGAAAATATATATCGTGTAGACGACCCTCGGCGAGACGTGAAGGGAGCGACCGATCAGAAGGGCACCTCGCACACACGTCCGTCGAACAGACCGGCAGCGGAGAGTCGGTCAGACGACGAGGGTTAAGATGCCCTCGAAGGACTTGGCTCAAACAGCACGTGTGTTTCTGCGCGCACACAACAGAAGCGGGCATTTTTCTCCGACAACCAGAGACTTCCTGTCCTTTCAAACGCTACAAACGCCACTCGACAGCGCGTCTGTCTAGCTCCGGACCAGATTCACGTTCCCGTCCCGCCGCCGAGAAGCGGCCGATGTTCGCAGGAGCGCGAGCAGCCCGCCCCGAGAGCGAAGCGCCGCGCCGCGGCCACGGGAACATGCTGTTGCACGTGCCGGACGCGCCTTTGCCAAACCTCCCGCCCGCCTGGCACGAATACGAGACAACGTTTCCGAACCACGAGCGGATCCGGGTGGAAAATGAGGACAGGTGTGGGGTCCCCCCACCCGCCCCCGCCCCC